TCTTATCCCTGTCACCCCCCAGGCTTTTATACTAAAATGTGTATTGGTTGAATGCACATGTGATATCTTAACTGTACTCATATTACTCTTTTTGAAGCCTCGGTAGGTTGTGGTGAAATAATGATCCATTTAGAGAATGTGGCTGTTGAGGCAGTTACCAGGATATTTGGGTCATAGTAACAAGTTTGTTTTTGGAGTTTGGGAAAAATTTCAGGAATTAAGGATTCTTCAGAAAAGTGTTTATGATGGAAACTGAGGCACATGGGGGCTACCAAATATATTTTTAAATGTATTTCCAACAAACAAGACTTTTCTGTTCTCTTTCCTTGGAGGCATTCTGCGGAAAGGGTTATTACCCTGAACCACACTGCCCATAAGAATCTGAAAGTTGTTGAACCCGTGAATATATTCAAATTTAGATGAATGTTAGAAATAAAGGTGTTGTCACCAATTTCCATTTTCTATGCAGCCATTTGAAGACCTTGAAGAAAAGGATCTTTTGTAAATTGATTTCCCAAAGTGAACCATTAGATGAAGCTCTCTTATTTCTTCACCATCCATCACAAGGTACATATCATTGTCTAGGGAGGATGGACTTGGACATAAGTAAACATCTGTTCATGGTTTTACAGATGACAGAGCACCTTCACTCATGATCTTACTAAATCTTTAAGGCAACTTCATATGGAATGGTGTCCCTCTACCCCTTAATCATTTTTCTGTATTGGGATTGAATTTTATTTGTTATCCGCATTTAACAAATGAAAACCTGAGCTTCTGAGAGAGTTATTAGGTTGACACAAAAGTAATCGCGATAGTTTTGAGCTCCGTGGCTTGAGGGCGAGTAGGTTTGGAACCCAGATCTGTTGGGAGTCTTCATACCACCTCTTCTCCCTTTCCCTCCCACCTCTTGCCTTGATACTGTGTTCTTTATTTACGGAATTTAGTGAAAGCTGACGCTTTTACTCAAAGGATGTATACGTATGGGGAGATAAAGATACAGCTCTGCAGGTACAGACATTGTGTGCATAATTCACTTGTTTAGATTTTAATGTTGATTATAATCAGGTGCTTGTTGCTATAGATTCAGAATCGAGATAGATTACGTGGCCGTTAAGTATTTCCATGTGTTTTTAGGATTCTCCTAAAGTGTGGTTGATACTGTCAGAGCCTCTAGATACAAGGCCAGTTTCCAGGATGAGTTGGAGTTTGAGCTGGGCTGGAAGGAACCTGAGGGGTGGAGTGCCAGGATGGTTATTTTGGTATCCAGTATAGGGAGCTTTTCTAAGCTAGCCCCAGTCTTGTGACTGGAAATTCTCTGCCCATTTAGGTCCTCATCGTATGATGGGGTTGTAAAACCAAAGGTCTGTATAACTCTTTGGATTATGTATCTGGTAGTTCTTTGCCCATTGCTAGATTAGGTAATTCCATCCTGCTGAGTTCTAGTTGACCAGAAACTGCAAGAGCTGGGGCACACTGGGTCTTTCCCTTTGCGGTAAAGGAATAAAAACAGCATTTAGAGCAGTGGCTGTACTTACCAAGTGGATAGATCAATTAATGCTAGTTAATACTGCATTCCCCCAAACAACCAGGAACTTGTAATTCATAGCTATAAAAGTAATTAGAAGTGGTTGTCTGCAAAGGTCTGCTGCCTGTCTTCTCCACCGCCTTCCCCTTGTGGAGCAGTTCAAGTAGCAGAAATTGTTTTCTTATGTTGAGTCAGAATATTCTTTGGAACTTCCCCACAGTGGATCTGTATCCTCCCTATGTGACAAATAGCTCTTCAGAAGTTGTTCAGGATCTCAGGACACTAAGTGTGCAGTTAGGATTCAGAAGAATCTTCCCATCTTTGGGCTGTGGGCTGAGGCTAAAAATGATAGACTTTAATAGGAATAAACATAAACTCCTGATTTTAGCTTTGACACCAATTGCACAAAAGACAGGATTCGGGGACAACCCCTGAGGAGCAGGAGCTTAGAAGTTTAATGAAAAGTAAGTCCACCTCTGAGTGCCATTTATTGAGGGCCATTAAATGCATTCATGAGGGTGGGCAGAGGGATGATGGTTTCTAGTCTGGAAGACAGTTAGGATCCTGGGAGCTGCTCCTGTCATACCTAAGTGGGTATCTTAGGAGAGATTTGTTTCCTTGGAGGATGGTATATGCTCTCAAGGAGTGGATGTGTATATGTTAATCAGGAGATGGGTTTTCACCTGATAGATGGAAGAATTTCAACATGTCAGTATGAAATGGAGCAGTACCGAGAAGGTAATGAGTTCCCTGCTGTTGGTGGTGTTCAAGGGTAGACTGTGACCAGCTGAGTGGATTTTGAGGGGACTTCAAGCACTGAATGGGGATGGTTGGCGTGTTTTTGTCTGGAGACTCCGGGGCTTGCAATTATATGAGAACATTCTTTTTAGGCAGTTAAAGGTTCCTTGGTCTCTTCAGCTGCCCCCGACTGTCCTGGATCCCATTGCCTGCCATTCTGACTGAGCACTGGACGTAACTACTATTTTAAAGTGCAGCTCCTTCGAGTAAATTCATACTACTGTGAAATGCCTAGAGCTCAAGGACTGGCCTGTGGTTTTGTACGTGTGTGTTGTTTTTGTCTTTTGTTATGTTTTTTTGGGGGGCAGAGTGGAGAGGAAGAAGGTGGGCTAGCCACTGCTCAAAGAGTTCATCCTTCTCATAATTTATCTAATAAACTACTTTGGAGCTAGAACAGACTCTAGAGTATAGTTTAGTTTGGATTTGTAAGACTCTTAGATCCCAACAAAAATGGTAATAGTTTAAGGATTCAAAAAGCCCACACTGCAGGCATCTTGAGGTTCATCTGGAGGTCAGTCACAAAATGCTTTCTTGTGGCGTAATTTATACCTTCACATTTGGCAATTTTGAAAGTTCTGTGTAAATGTACATATGTTGGTAAGAGGTAGTAAATATTTTGCTGACAAGTTCTTTGAATGATGGCTTAGTAGCAGCATTTGAAGGCAGCCAACCAGAGGGGTTTTTTGTGTATTTTTTTTTTTTTTTAATCCAGGTGCTGCCAAGTTTACAAAGCTGTAAGGGAAGAAGCCAAAAGTACCCACTAGTTATAGTTATGCCATTAATTGTGTAATATTCATGTGCCTCAGAGTTTCTGCACCTGGCATCTGTTGATATACACAGGTGGGGGAGGACAGGGCCACAGGATACAGCTGGGAGACAGCGGGGAAGAAGACAGGTTGCTTGTTGTCAGGTGATGGCCCTGGAACATGGAGCAGTTCCTGGTGCCAGGCGGGGCCACCAGCACTTGCTTCCCTCCTGGTTGTCCATTTGTAATACTGCCTGGACTTGAGGGGGCAGGAAGGGGAGGAACCATGGCCACATGAAGCCCTCCCTACTCAGGCCCTGGGCATCCTCTTTTTGATCAGTCCTTTCCCCTCCTTTTTTGGGGGGCCTTTGAATTAATGATCTGATGCCTTTTCAACAAAGGAATATTGAAATGTTGATATGTCAGTGTGCAGGACAGCAGGGAGTACTGGATAAGATCATTTTCACATTGTTGTTATGCCAATTTGACATTTGTTTGGAAAGCTTATCCCTTTATGACCATAGGTTATATGCATAATTTAAGGGGAATAAGTCTTTGATTTTATTTTATTTTTTGGTTCTGTAATCATCATTGCTACAAAAAAAGAAAGTCTCCCCCACCGTTTTCATGTGGTCAGGAATTCAGCGTAGGCTACGAGAGGAAGTGCTCCACGTCAATACCGTGCATTTCCACAGGTGTGCTAGGTACTTGTGATAGTTGTTGCAGGGAAGTCAAGAGTGGGGACAACTTGGTCCCCACTTCAAGGTTACAACCTAGTTGCTGAGAGTAACAAAGTAACCTCATTCTATAGGGTAAAAGACCCAGAAATAAATGACATAGGTACAGGTCAGCTGGCATTGCTATCTCAGAGAATGAGTATGTGTGATAGCAAAATTATCTCCCTCCCTCCCTCCCTCCCTCCTTCCCTTCCTCCCCTTGCATCTTGGTGATCTCATATTGGGATAGTGAAACTATCAGAGTTTCAGAGTTATGATGCCAGTTGCCGTGGTGAAGTGGATTATTTTAAAAACTTTTTGGCCTGGCGCGGTGGCGCATGCCTGTAATCCTAGCACTTTGGGAGGCCGAGGTGGACGGATCATGAGGTCAGGAGATTGAGACTATCCTGGCTAACATGGTAAAACCCTGTCTCTACTGGTGTGTGTGTGTGTGTGTGTGTGTGTGTGTGTGTGTGTATATAATTTGTGTGTATATATATACACACACACACATATACACACACATATATAATTGTGTATATATATATACACACGCACATATATATATATAATTGCCTGGGCGTGGTGGCACATGCCTGTAGTCCCAGCTACTCAGGAGGCTGAGGCAGGAGAATCACTTGGATCCGGGAGATGGAGGTTGCAGTGAGCTGAGATTGCCCCACTGCATTCCACTCTGGCAGCAGAGCAAAACTCCATCTCAAAAAACAAACAAAAAGCCCCTTTATTTTATTTTCTTATGAATAACTTGTTCTGCTGTGGAGATTTGATAATCATTTAGTGAAGTGCCCCTGGTAGATAGTAGACACTCAATAAATGGCTTTTGTGTGAATCACTGCAAACTTGAGTACTATTGTTCCGTATAAATTTCCTCTTGTCTGTGAAGGCTATCCAGCTTCTGCCCACTGTTGCATTTCTGTGTAGGTGCTTAACATGATGCTGAGAGAATAAAGCCACTTGGATCTCAAAATTCCATATTCTCCCCGGGAGTTCTCCAAGCAAAGCTGGTGACTGCCTCAAAATCTCAGAAATCACCACTAAAGAACTTATCCATGTAACCCAAAACCACCTGTACCCCCAAAACGACTGAAATAAAAATTAAAAGCTGGTGACTGAAGAACTTGCACTAGAGCTAGCAAGAGCATTATGTTTGTGGTCACCACACCCTTACACTGTTGTTTGTTTTCTCTTTTAGGTTTATTTTCTTGAAAAGACTCCAGGCTTCGGCTTGGAAAATCCCACCGCCAAAATTGAGCCCAGCAGCTGGAGCGGCAGCGAGAGCCCTGCCGAAAACATGGAAAGGATGAGCGACTCTGCAGATAAGCCAATTGACAATGACGCAGAAGGGGTCTGGAGCCCCGACATTGAGCAGAGCTTTCAGGAGGCCCTGGCTATCTATCCGCCATGTGGGAGGAGGAAAATCATCTTATCAGACGAAGGCAAAATGTATGGTAAGTGGCCTGGAACGCTCCTTTAAAATATTACAGCCTGTTGTAGGGGATAGATCGTAGCTGGCCTTCCAGCAAGAGCCATTCATTGTATGGGGTTGAATGATATTTGTAGAATTTTAGTGGGTCATCCAAAGGACCAGCCTTCAACTAAACAGAAGAGTCAGTAAAGAACCTTTGGGAAATCACTCCCTGGGCTTTTCTTCTTCTACATGCTTAGCGGCATTACGTCAGAAACTTTAGGGGTCCAGGCAGGAACATAGGTAGTTGCACTGGCATATGCACACATGGAATGGTGGGGAGGTGGTCTTCTGAACGCAGACCTGATTGCAAGGAAGCACTGCCACCTCTAGGTAACTGATGCCCTAGGAATGGGGGCCTGGTGCTGCCAAATCCCCTAATTGCTCACCACCCCCTTGAGGAAGAGCCAGCAATCTAGATGCTTATATGAAATCTACTCTTGTAAAAAACCCAACACTTTTTTTTAAGCAACTCTATACAGGCCAGAGAAAACCTGTGCATGGGCTTGATCAGCCTCTGAACCACCAGTTTGCTGCTTTGCTGCCAGTTTGCAGTTGAATAGTCAGACAAGGCATGTACCCCTGGGTCACTCTCAACCATCTCCCCTTCTTTGGGGGATGCCCTGCAGGGCATTCTGAAGGAAACACCGAGTGCCAAGGAGAGTGAGACCTGTTAACTAGCTGGCTCAGATGCCAAGGGCAGCAGCAAGGATCCACCTGCCAGTCTGGGGCTTGCTTGCTGGGTTTGGGCACCCCCTAACTTCCTTCCATAAATGCTTCCAGCTGCAGACCTGTACTTTTTGGCTGCTTACCTTTTGAGAAGCAGATGGCAGGTATGGTTGCTTGAACATTCTGCCTGTCTAATTGAGCACCTTGAGTTGACAGAGTTTGCACTGTAGCTGAGTCTAAAAAAGACTTAAACACAACCTAAAGAGAACTGGCTCAGTGATCTACCTAAGATTAACTTATCATGGGAGTGATTTATTTCTAAGCAATTTGAAGTCTTTTTCATAATAGGGTGTTGTACCTTTAATACTGCACTTCCTCTGTCAGGAGCCATAGGAGGCTGTGGCTTCAACTAGTGCACACTGCTCAGGAGAAAGCAGATGGTGGTGCAGCTGCCACCAGCTGTGCCCCCACCCCACCGTCCTCCTCTCCAACTTGGATGATGTAATGGAAACAAGGAAAATTTTGCTTTCTGCAGCACTGGAGGCTTTCAGCCTGTCACACACAGGGGAAAAGGAGAACCAAGCCTTCAGCATTTGTTTTATGCATCCATAATATCCTTTATACCGTGGGAAGCTTCTTCATATCTGGTGAAATGGACTGTGGATGAAACATCTCAGCTACTATGGGAAGAGAGTTTCAGGGCCCTAGATTTTCTGTATGTCTGTATCTTTCCTGGGCTCTTCTTCCTCACCCTGGCGATTTGTTTTGTGGGTCTTGTTTTCATAGCTGAAAATGCAGTACCTCCCTTTCTTACAGGCAGAGAAAAGCATTTTAATCTTTGAAGCTTCTTTGAAGATGATTTTAGTATGGGCAGTGAAACGTAACTTTGGGACGCTACCTTGTACAACACTCATTTGTTTGCCCAAAAATTGTTTTAATTTAAAACAAAGGCATAGTATTAGAAATCCCAGTTGGGCATAACTACTGCACTTCATTTCTCACAATAAATACTGGGAAAGGTATTGTCCTTTCAGGAATAAGATTTTAGGGCTGAGAACATAATTCAAAGCATAAGTTAACTTTTGTCAACTCCAATTTTGTTTTGTTCTCCATTGAGATTTTACTTTATCGGCAGCAGCCCTGGTGGGTTTAACCAATTCGCCTATAACCCAATTATAAAAATATTTCTGTGTGAAAATAATTGTATAAGAGCTCTTGTTGGTAATTGGGTCTCAGAGGCAGCAGGCTAGGAAGAACACTGAGAAGCTTTGGATTTGAGTAGTCATATTGACAGTGAACTTGAACATTTTACCTTTGGTCTTCATGTCAGTTTTCTCCTATGTAAAATAAGATGGTATGGTAGTTGATGATGTCCATGGATCGTTTGGACTTTTCCATTTTGTGACTTGTCACTGAGTGAGAGGGTCAGTTTTGCTGCTTGGGAGCCTAGCCTGTCTTGGGTACCTAGTGTAACTTAAGTTCTGAGTGCTTCCTTAGTGTGCATGGTTTTGATATATGGGTTCTTTTCTCCTGAACTCAGCAACACATTTAGTGACTTGTGTTGGTGGCTAACCTGATTTAAAATGGGACAATCCTTTTGAGCAAGCAGCATTAGGAATTTTAACTCATTTGGAAAGAACAGTCTTATTGGTTGTGGGTTTAGTACACAGCCTGCAGGAGTAGGTATACTAATTGGGGCTCAGAAGATGCATTGGCTGCACTGTCCTGCAGCCGCTCCCACTTCCAGGCAGCTGCTTTGGGGAGGAAACATCCCCCACTGAAGTCCCTCTCTCTGAGGAGCTTTGCTTCTACTGCTGCCTTGGAAGGGAACTATGGTGGTTAATAGGGCTATGGGTGGTGGAGACTGGACCCCTTAAGAGGAACTGTCTTAGTTGCTTGGGAGCTGCCTTTGACCTGGCTGTGACTTGGAGGATGAGAGAAAGATGGCTTGGGAGCCTCCATGGTGAGGCCCCAGCCACTCGAGAATTGAATCATATGAACAGTGTGGGGCCAGAGCTACCGTCTTGGGCTTTTGGCCTGTTCCCTGTCTTACCATGCATGAATCAGGACACAAACCAGACCAGGAGTCAGGGTTTCTTAAGGCCTTAAAGAGCATACTTTTTCTCTAAGGATTTTGAAAATGAAAACATTTAAAGCATTCTTGGATTCCATGCAGTAAAATAAAAAATGATTTAGTCTTTTAGTGAAATACCAAGTTTTTTTTTTTTTTTTTTTTTTTTTACTTGAAAGGGTTATTCCAATATTTCAGAGCATTTGTAGAGTGCTTTGTGATGTCACTAATCCTGAGCCATCGGAGAAGCAAGGTCAAGTGATTTATTTTGGTAATGAAATTTTCTTCGTGGTTGGCAGTAGGGCAAATGCAATCTTATAGAGGAGAAAAAAGGACAACTCTCTTTATGATGAGGTTTTGGCCACTGGAGGAGAGGGCTTAATTTGCTTTCTGCTGACTTGGTCTTTGGGGGAGCTGAGACTTGGTGCATTTGGGCACCGTGTGGATAGGTGGCTCTGCACACCCTATGTGTAGACAGTCATTTTGGGGGATTTCTAGAAGGGATGTGAGACATCCTTTGACTTGGTTCCTAAGGGCATGTGTGCTCACTCCCTTGGGATCTCTCTTTTTCTGTGCCTGTCTTTTTCTTTTTTTTTTTTTACACAGCTGTGTGTGTGTCTCTTTCTGATAGGTCGTGTGAGAGGAGATAGCAGGAGGACAAGATGATAGGGAAGTTCTTGATCAACAAACTTACCCAAAATTGGATCTCAGAGGAGCAGGCCATAGTTTAAAAACAACATAAATAGCAAAATAAATAGCAAACCATGGAAACACCTGAATATGTTTCCTTTGCAACTGAAAGCCCTAGTCAGATATACCCCATAGTCAAATAGGGCAGCAACAGGAACTAACCTTCACTGGTTGCATGCTGTACAGGCAGAGAAGTAAAATACTGAACAGTCTGGACTTTATAAATAATAAGAATCCTGGCCCTGCACTTCTAGATATCAGACTTTGATCGAGTCACTTTACTTCTCTGTCTCAATTTGTTAACTGAAAAGGAGGGTTAATTGATCTTACTGCATAGGATTGTTTCAAGAATTAAATGAACTGTTATCTGGGACACCACCCCTGCCCACAATGTTTGAATTGTATCTAGCATATAGTGAGAGGTATGTAAGTGCTTATGAACTGAAAACAAAGACATGCCCTCTGCCCTGCACTATGCTAAAGGCTTCACATATAAGTCTGTCCAATGCTCTTAACAATGCCTTGAGGCTGGTGTTATTATCCTCACTGTATAGACAGGAAGCTGAGTCTGAGACGGGTAAAGTGGCTTGCATGTGGCAATATAAATGGTATAGCTAGCAGGTTTGAAATTCAGGGCTGTCCAACTCTACATTTTGGGCTCTTTCTACTGAGCTCTTGTTCCTTCCTTGTTAGAGACCATTGTACATAAATCCAGTGAATCAGTATTGAGCACCAGGTGTATTCGCGCCCTGTGCTCTAGGGATTGTCAGGGATACTGTGGTGAATCAGACAGATATAGTCCCTGCCTTCATGGAGCTGTCTTAAGTTCATTTGCAGGAAACTGACCTAAGGTCAGGACTGTGTGCCAAAGCTTTCTGAGAAGTCTGAGCCCTTTGAGGATGGTCACTTTCCATTTAGCCTTTTGAAGCCTATTCTTGGCTACCAAGGTCCAGGGCCCTGGCCCGATGCTGGCAGGAAGAAATCATCTCAAATAACATAGCAGAGAGGATCTCAGATCACAAGGTTGGCCTCGGTAGTGGCCAGGAGGATGTCTGGAAGATTCTATGCCCTGGGATCCTACAAGCAGTCTGGGCAGAGCAGTTGCTTCCAGACATCTTTCTGGCTACTATTGACTTTCTCCTTTTGCAAGCAGATGTCTTCAGGGTTCTTGCTTAGGTCCTCTCTAAGGAAGGACCCTTTCTTACTGGGGTACCAGGACTACTGGTCAGCCCCAGAGAGCTGAATTGTGAAGACCAGTGAAGATTCGGGGGTGGGGGTCTCTAGCCAGTCCTCCCTAGCTGCTGACCTGTGCCTTGCCTGCCAGGATAACATAGGACTTAGGATTGAACCTTTCCTTACTTCACAGAAACAGAAGTCAGAAGAGGAAAGGGGGCTTTTTAAAAGAGCTAGTGGCAGAATTGACAAGGGAGTATCAGAATGAGAATGGACACAAGCAAGTGTAAGTACGATCCGTCAGTATAGGAAAAGGACTGAAATCTGTGGTTCCTATGCTGGATGCAGAGGAGTGGTCAAATAATTGCAGATTCATCCTT